TATTTTACTTGAGTGGTAGAGAGAGAGAACCTGAGAGCTTGCTTTTTCTAAAGCGATCCTTTGGGATATATTTCACTTGAGTGCAGCTTCTAATCAACTCCACTTGGAACTGGTAGGTTCACTTGAGAGGTTTCACTTTAGACGTTACTTTTCTAAAGCTAATCTATCACTAAGGCCTGAAATGAAGCTGAGAGATTCACCTGAGATACTTCACTTGAGTGCATGTTTGTTCAAATGCGATCAAACATGGTTGAATATACAATAGTTCACTAGCTGAAGTATTGTTTTTTGCTGCTCTAAAACTTTATATTTGGAATACAAAAATATATGAATTATATATATTTTTGAAATATTTTTTAAGTTTTAAATCTGAATTTGAAGAAGTAATGAGAAAGTTGCATGAAACTTTCATGAAAGTTTCACTGTAGTATGAAAGTTTGATGAAAGTTTGCATGAAACTTTCATGAAAGTTTCATGAAACTTTCATACCAACAAGAAACTTTCATGAAAGTTTCATAGGGCATTGAAAGTTTCATGAAAGTTTTAGTAAACTTTCATGTCAGTCTGAAAGTTGCGTGAAAGTTTCAGTAAACTTTCATCTTCACCTGAAAGTTTCATGAAACTTTCATGAAAGTTTCATGAAAGTTTCATGCAAACTTTCACCAAACTTTCACCTATAAACTCAAAAATCATTAAAAGTTTGTGAATTTTAAACAAAAAATAAAATGCGCATTGACATTTGTTCAGGAAAATCATTAAAAGTTTGTGAATTTTAAACAAAAAATAAAATGCGCATTGACATTTGCTCAGGAAATGTTCAAACAGTTGAACCATGACATGCATTGTAGATGATATGCATCAGGGGTTTCTGCACTTGAGGTGCTTTTCACTTGAGAGAAGTTCCTTTAAGAGTTCTTCACTTGAGAGTTTTATAGGTGTGTTCACTTGAGAGGTTTCCTCTAAAGAGAGGTCTTCACTTGAGAGTTTAAAAGGTTTGTTCACTTGAGAGGTTTCCTCAATTGAGAGGTCTTCACTTGAGAGTTCTTCCTTTGAAGGTTCTTCATTTGAGAGCACTTACAGTTTTTACTTGTGACAAGTTTTTGGGAGTAGCTGGATAAATTCACTTGAGAGGTTTTGGTTTGAGAGCTCTACTTGAGAGCACTGGGAAGTTTTACTTATGACAAGTGTTTGAAAGCAGTTGGAAGAGTTCACTTGAGAGGTGTCTTCGTTTGAGACTTCTTCACTTGAGAGTTATTCCTTTGAGAGTTCTGGACAATGTTCTTCTTGTTTCTACACAATTTGTTTATTGTTTCTAAATGTCTCCATGAAAGAGTCACTCACTATCAAAATTTGGACCATGCTAGGGCTCGAGCAGAGGTTAGGAGAACAGTACATGAAAGCCATGAAAAGGCCAGCCACCCAAACAGAGGATGGCTTCCACACACCAGAAGCCAAGCAAGGCTTGGTTTCATCTGATTTGGATGGGGGCCATCGACAAGAAAGAGGTGTTGAGCACCAAGAGGGGTGGCATTGAGTACTTGTGCACACCTTCCTTCCAGATGGTCAAGACCAAGGGAGAGAGCGACAAGACAAGCTTGGAAGCCAATTGGAAGGTGGACAAAGATGACTACTTGGCAATGGCTTCAGCTTTTGCACAGTATGGCTTGCAAGGTGACTCAGATGAGGAGAAGAAAGGTTCTTCTTCCAGCAAGGGCAAAAGGGAACTTGTGGAGGACAGGCACATACTTCTTCTGGAAAGCAAAATTATTGGTTGGAACTTGGTGCACATTCACTTGAGAGATTTTCACTTGAGAGTTCTTGTCCTGGGGTTTAACAAACAAACACATTGTTTGGAATGTTTCACTTGGGAGACTTTCACTTGAGAGTTCTTGTCCTGGGGTTTAACAAACAAACACCTTGTTTGGAATGTTTCACTTGAGAGACTTTCACTTGAGAGTTCTTGTCCTGGGGTGTAACAAACAAACACATTGTTTGGAATGTTTCACTTGAGAGACTTTTACTTGAGATTCACCTGAAAGACTTTCACTTGAGAGTTGTTTTTTTGGGGGTTGAACAAACAAACAGATTGGTTGGAGCTTGTGCATTCACTTGAGATACTTTCACTTGAGAAGAGATTTTCACTTCAGAGAATGATTCATTTTACTTGACAGGAAGATGCAGTTGACTTCAAAAAGTGCGAGAAGATGCTGACAGAGGCCAAGTCATGCCAAGACAGAATGGAGAAGGACATGTACAAGCTGAAGCCACGCATCGAGACAGCCAAAGACATGGAGATGCTGGCACAGTTGAAGAAGCTGCTTACTTCTGTGGTTGCCCAAAAGAAGGATGTGGATTATGTGCTGACATGGCAGGAGTTGCCAGGCGATGATGGAGTGAAGCTGACACATGCAAGCTTCAAGGCATGGATGCACCACCTGGCGACACAGACTGAGCAGAACCAAGAGGGCATTGAATCTCTGAAAGCAGTCCTCAAAGCAAGGAAGCTGTAGCCTTGCAAGAAGCTCAAGGGATTGAAACTCTGCTTCTGTGAGAAAAAAAAGCTGTCTTTGGCTGTAACTTAGAGACATTCACTTGAGAGACATCACCTGAGAGAGACATTCACTTGAGATGATCACTTGAGAGACTTTCATTTGTAATGAAGTTGTTTTCATTTGAAACTCACTGGAGAGATTTTACCTTCCAACAGTTATGTTTAAAACATTCACTGGAGACATTCACTTGAGAGACATTCACCTGAGAGAGACATTCACTTGAGAGATGATCAGTTGAGAGACTTTCATACCTGAGAGAGACATTCACTTGAGAGATGATCACTTGAGAGACTTTCATTTGTAATTAAGCTGTTTTCCCAAGTTCAGAGGTGTACAGTCATTTGAAACTCACTGGAGAGACTTTCACTTCCAACACTTATGTTTAACATATTCACTGGAGACATTCACTTGAGAGATCTTCACCTGAGAGAGACATTCACTTGAGAACAGTTCCATTGAGATGCATCTACTGGACTTAAAGCCCTTTTGGTGTCTTTTCTTTTGAGGTCTAGGGGTTGTGTTCATTGTGGCTTGTGGCACATCCAGGTGTATGATTGCAAGAGTATCTTTTATCTGCAGGATATTGGTTCATAGGCATGGAAGACATAGCCACATGGAAGAACCTTACAGACCTCCCAAGAAAGCCAGGACAGGGGGCATACAGCAAAGGGCTCAAGCTGCAATTCTTGAGGAACAAAAAGCTGCACCTTCACCAAAGAGCAAGTTGGCAGCTTTCTTGGTGCAGAAATGGGCTGAAGGCATTTTTTCACCTCAAATGGTGCAAGCTCTTGCACACAAGAGCAGCATGGATTTGGAAGCTTCCAGCTCTTCTGTTCAGCCTTTGTTTCTGAAGAAGCTTGCCTCTTTAGGAAATTATGGACAACAGCCAAACAATTGCCATAGAGACTTATTGAAAATAGCTGCACCACTCAGCAGGTTTCCACAACCAATGCAGTGCAGCTTCCCATTCCAGGATGACAAAATGAGGCTGCAAAAGATCTTCTTACCACATGAGTGGTTTGCAACTCTGTACCATCAATACCCACATGCTTGGAGAAGCACTATTCTGCCCAGCGATGCAGACCTGAAAGGATTCTGGAACAGGATGGCTGGTGGGCATGCAGCTATGGTTGGAATGCCTTTAGACAAAAAAGACTTCAGTGTGGCAGTGCCAGTATGCTTACATGGTGATGGAGTTCCCATCACAGGAGCTGGTAAAGCTTGGGTCAAGATGTGCACAGCATTTAGCTGGGCATCCATGATGGCCAGTGGCAGCACTGTGAAGCTTTTGCAGGTGACCACACCCTAGAAGAGTTCTTCTGTCCTTTAAATTGAGCTTTGAGGCATGCTTCAGTGGCTGCTGGCCTTATTGTGATCACAAAGGGAAGAAGTACAAGAAGGATTCAATGAATTATGCCAAAGCAGGGACTCTGCTGGCTGGAGGGTTCAAAGCAATTCTTTTTGCAATCGAAGGAGACTTAGACTACCTGCCTGCAACACTAGGGCTTCCCAGGTGGTCTAGAAAAGATTCACCATGTTGCCTTTGCAAGTGCAGTGGTGAGGGTTGGCAAGACTTCAGGCCTGTGGCTGAATAGACCACATCTTTGTGGAGCGCAAAGGATTGGCAGGAGTCAGACAAGAAGAGCTCTTGCCCATTGTTTACATTGCCTTGGAACAGTGGTTGCAATGTGATGTACGATTGGATGCACAGCAAGTATCTGGGGACAGATACTGTGATCCTGGGTGCAGCCCTGTGGCTTCTGTGCTTTAAAGAGATGGATGCTTCACCAAAGGAGAACCTGAAGGTGGCCTGGCTTCACATCCAGGAATTCCAAAAGCAGCATTGCCCAGGAACCAGCTACAAGCTCTTGAAACTTAGCATGTTTTGCAGGAAGCAAGGGCTACACAGGCTTCGTGGAAAAGCTGCTGAAATCAAGAATGTTGGCAGTGCAATTCTGAGTGCCTGGCAAATGTTTGCTGATCTGGACACTTTACAGAACAGAAAAATAGAGGTGGTGCTGAAACTCACATGCAAGTGTGAAGAGATCTTGAGGGATGCCAAAGGTGATTATTGGCTGGAAGACACACAGGCTGCAGCTTTGACAAAAGCAATCTTTTCAATGTTTCATGTGCAGCAAGGATTGGCAGAAGAGTTCAAGTCCAAGGGTGATTCCCAGCTGTTCACAGTGACTGCAAAGGCACACTACCTTTGCCACTGTGCTTTGCAGTCAAAGTTTTTGTCACCCAGAGTGGTGTGGTGCTTTTCTGGTGAAGACCAGATGAAGAGGCTGCGGCAACTGTCTGCCTTTTGTTTTCAAAGGCTGGCTCCTTGGGATGCCACTGGAAAGATCCTGACACATTACAGGATTGCACAGCACTTCTTGTTGGACAAGGTTGAAACCTTGTGAGAATGATACATTGGGCACTGCCACCTGAGCTGCTGTTGGCTTCACTTAAAGTGAAAGCTGAAAAAGATGTGAGCTGCATCCACTTTGTTTCACTTGAGGGCATTTTCACTTGAGAGGTTTTCACTTGTGTTATTCACTTGAGAGACATTCACTTGAGATTCACCTGAGAGACTTTCACTTGAGAGGGTAGAGGTTTTCAGTTGTGTTATTCACTTGAGAGACATTCACTTGAGATTCACCTGAGAGACTTTCACTTGAGTTTCTTTTTGTATTGTGTTTACATTCACTTAAGAGACTTTCACTTGAGAGT